CAAGCTCATTTAATCTTTTTTGTAAACCATCAGACATTTCGTTTTCATAGTATTATTTGATTTTTAATTTTTGTTCCCTGCTGCAAACAAGAGCAAGATATATCACTATTTTGATCACGACTGTTTGTGAATGGAATATCGAGAACTTTCTAGATGCTTGTAAATAGCCAATGACAAGAGCAAAAATAGGACTATACATTACGTATTTAAATAAAATCGTTAAGGATGAAACAGGGCCAAGAAGTGAAAAGGCACAAAACTTGCTCGATAAATATAAGAAGGTGAATCTATTAAAAATTATTTATTAATAATATTGTCAAGAAATTGGTGGTGTGGCAATGACCTTTATACTCATTGCCATTATAGCCTTTATGCCTAGTCCACGAAGCTAGTTTCAGAGTACAGATGACCTTTATGCTTGCCTGTGTAGCCTTTATGCTATTTTGATTCTAGCCTCATCGGGCACAGGTGACCTTTATGCTTGCTTGTGTAGCCTTTATACTATTTCGATTCTAGCCCCATCAGGCACAGGTGACTTTTATGCTTGCCTGTGTAGCCTTTATGCCGTCCGGTGGGATATAAATTAGATGAGAACCATGAAACATGTTGGAAAGAATATCACTAATTTAAAACTTCTTAATCAATATTTATAATACATTTTCCAGAGATACGTTTTTAGGAGACATTCAATCGATTGGAACTATCAACAGAGGACTAAAAGAGGTTAAGAAGGAGGACTTTCTAGATGCTTGTGAACAGCCAACGACAAGAGCAAAAATAGGACTATACATTATATGTTTGAATAAAATCGTTAAGGATGAAACAGAGCCAAGGAGTGAAAAGGCACAAAACTTGCTCGATAAATATAAGAAGGTGAATCTATTAAAGATTATTTTATTAATAATATTGTCAAAAAATTGGTAGCGTGGCAATGACCTTTATGCTCATTGCCATTATAGCCTTTATGTCTAGTCCACAAAGCTAGTTTCAGAGCACAGGTGACCTTTATGTTTGTCTGTGTAGCCTTTATGCCATTTCGATTCTAGCCTCATCGGGCACAGGTGACCTTTATGCTTGCCTGTATAGCCTTTATGCCATCCGGTGGGATATAAATTAGATAAGAACCATAAACATGTTAGAAAAAATATCACTAATTGAAAACTTCTCAATCAATATTCATAATACATTTTTCAGAGGTACGTTTTCAGAAGGCACTCAATCGATTGGAACCATCGATAGAGGACTAAAAGAGGTTGAGAAGAGGTATATGTGAATAATTTTTTTAGATAAAAATTAAGTGACCTTTTGTATTATAGGTGGCTCTTTAATAAAATATATTATTAGTCAGTTGATTATAAAGCAGGGCCACTTATACTACAAGAGATTCGAAATCATTAAGAATAAAAGTCAGTGGCAACATAAAATTTTGTTTACAAAAAAAAAAAAGAAGCTTTTTATAGAAGGTAATTAAAATAATTTCTTTTAGAGGGATATATTGCTTGATGGAACCAAAATCGAGAAGCTGACTCCTATAAACTTGATACCATCAAATGATAACAATTCTTCCCAAGATGATGACTCTGATTATGATGATGATGATGAAGCCGTTCCTCCCCCAGAAGAAACACTCGAATTCGTCCTTAATAACAGAAGAAAATAGAAGTTGTCTTCAGGCAAAACGTTGGAGAATTGTCACTCAAAAAATATCAGCCAACACAGAGGCAATTAAAGATAAAAGAAGATTGTCTTCCATAGAAAAAGTAATATTACGCTATGGTGCATCACGTATAATTGATTTATCAATTCATATGAAGAAGTGGTTCTTTTTGGAAGATAAAAAGTTCATGATAAAAAGTACATATCTCTGTTACAAGTTCCTGGTCTGAAAGATAAAGAAAGCTCCTTATTGCATCTGTCGAAAATATATATGCATTGTTTTGAATTTGACTTGTTATGTACACATAAACATACATACTGGTTAATGATTTTTATACAGATGGTAATTGAAAAAAGAATAAATGAAGCATACAAATTATGTATTTATAAATATACTAGTTCTGATATAAACAGCTACGTGTACAAGATTAGCAAAATATATATATAAGTGTTTTATTCTACTATATATGTGGTCAAGGAAAAACCTGTAAGTACAAATTTAAATTTTAACTATACCGAATTTCAACAATTTAAATTCAGAAAATTTGATAATATTAATTATTAGATTTTCTGAGTTTAGGTCCAGCATAGTGGGAATTTAAATTGGTATAGGTTTTTTCTTAGCAATACTCATATTACTTTGATTCTTTATGTGATTCAATTCTGATAGTTTGATGTTTATAGTATTTACAGAATCGAGGATAGCGATATGTTGGATTCCGTACATACTGAGATTGACGTAATACTAAAAGCATATTGCAATTCTTGAATGTGTGCCAGGTTGGTGGCGTATTAATCAGCCACACGATCTCTTTTATTTCAGTATATATAGTACGTTCTTAAAATTTTTTTTTAAATGAAAACTTCCATTGCGTGCTTTGTCAACTGTTTTATACTTTGAATGTTTTTTATTTTTCTTTTGTGAATTGAATATATAACAGAAAATTTCAGTTGACTCTCTCTATACTGAATTAATATAAATTTTTAGTTAGTTATTTTTAGAGATCATTGTAAAAGGTTTATTTTAAAGAGTTTAGTTTTAAATGTGAAATCTCTTTAACAATAAGGAACACTACTATTGTCTTTTTTAAGATACGATTTATAAAGTATCATTCAAAGAACTGTTTTATAAACTACATAGTACATGTTTATTAGAAAACATATTTGGTTTGAGATTTATTACCATACTTTTAAAGCCAATATTTATATAAATATATTTTTTATGCACTTATTATATTATGAATTTTGACGAGTTATCATCATTTTGCTTGTAAACATTTTAAAAATTATAATTTATACTCATTATAAAAATAAATAAATACAGACATTTCTTTGAATTCAAAATAATAATATTAGAATCTAAAGATTATGAAGAAGTGAAGAGAAACATACTTTTTTAAAAATAAAAAAGAATACAATTCAAGTAGAAACAACATTAGAACATAGTGCTTTTGTTCTATTCAAGTTAATCGTTATCATTAGATGTTTTTTAATTGGTACAAATTATTTGGACTGATTAATGCGCCACCAACCTGGCATACATTCAAGAATTGCAAGCATGTTTATATATCCTCGAAGAATTAAAGAAGAATCTGGTAGTAAGACAAAGGTGGTTGGCATAAATAAAGTTTTCTCGTTTTATATTCTATTCTTACAAGTTACTTATGTTACATTTTGTATACTAAAAATAAGGGAGAATCATTCTGCCCATTGAGCAGAAGTGCAGATTATAAAAAGGGTCACAAATATGATACACATTTCTTATCACTATCAGGAATTGACATTGGAGAATGAGAGTTTGCATCAAATGCAATACCATACAAGGCAATTGGTAGCTGTTGCAGATCAGCCAAGATCAATCAATCAATATTAAATAATCTACTAAATCGCAACCTAACTTTTTAAGAAATCATCAATTTCATCATATAATAGGTATTGGACCGTTCATGTGGATCTGAATACATGTATTGATTTATCAATTCAACATAACAATTAGAATTCGAAAGCAAAATACGAACAAAACCCTTTATAAATATCAAATTTTAATATCAAATTTACGTTTAACAAAATGTCTTTGTCCGGTTGACATTTCTGCTTTAAATAATACCAAACAGGTTTGGGTCAAAATTCTGACAAGCAAAATCCAGATAGGTCATAATTCTAACAAAAAATCCTGGCAGGCAAAAATCTAACAGTTAAAAATCTCGACAACTAAAAATTCTGATAAAAAATATTATAAATCATAGCTAATCCTAGTCTAATCCTTATCTAAAGTGACCTAATCCTAAAGTTAATTAAATTATAAGAGTCTACTTCGCTTTAAACATATTTGGGATTTTCTATTTAAAAATTCTGACTGTAGGTATTTTTTTAATTGTTAGGATTATGACCTGTCGGAGGATTTTGACTAGCACCCTATAGGGTGTTAGATACTGATTTACTATCATAGTGTAGCATTATATGATTAGCCTACTATGTAAGATTTTTAAAATTTTGTCAATCAATTTGTTAAAAAAATTTATAATAGTAAAAACTATGTATTTTTAAAATATTATAACTTCCTTCTTAGCAAAGTATATTTGATTTCATAACTTGCAAATGATATAAAAATAGTGTTGTTTTAAAATTATGATACCATGTTTAATATTAATATATGAATTTTAG